AGGCAACCAGGCCTGGGACCCAGGGCTCTTTCTCCCAGCCTCAGGGCGCTTTTTTCAGTCCCCCTGCAAGCTGAGAAGGCTGCCTGGAAGGGGCTTTTTCAACAACTCAGTTTACCAATGCAGAAGTTGAGCTCCAGTAATAGGGTTGCTTCATATCAGGGCTGGAAGAGGACACAAGGCCCAGCTCCCAAAGTCTTCACCCAAACCCCTGCCTGCCTCTGCTCCTTCCCAGAGGGAAAAGAATCCAGCTCAGTCTTGTCTCTTTTTCTATCCCGATCTAGTCTAGATCTTTGGAAAGTCCTTTCTGAAGTCTACCCTTCACCCCTCCTCCTGCAGCACAAAACTTTCCCTCCTAAGAAGTCTCAGGGGGTGTTAGCCAAAGAAGGTTTCTGGAGGCACCACCTTCGTTGCGGGGTGGCCTAGGGAGAAAAGGCAGAAGCTGAGCCTGGCAGTGGACGCCTTCCCTGGGAAGTCAGGATAATATTAATAGAGGAGGGCTTCTTGGGCTTCCTGACGGAGACTTTGTCCCTTGGTTTATTTGCATAGTTATTTATGTGTTCATTTTCATTCTCATTGGCTAACTCAATTTGCATAGTGTCAGGCCAGCATCCAGGTGTGTCTCCCCTACGCACACACAGTTCGCGTTCGCAGGGAAGCGGGAAACGCGGAGAAACTGGCCGCACCGGGAATTGGCCTCAGCTGACCTCCTGAACCCAGCTGGGGATATCTACACGGTGGTGCCTGCCTGAAGGTGGGCAAGGGAGCTGAGCAGGGATGTGGGGGCCAGTGTACCCCCTCCTCACCTCCCCCCACATCTGGAGCCCTTCCTCTCCACACATGTGGATCCAGGAGCCATAAAAGGTGGGGCGCAGTGGGACACCGGTAGGAGGAGGAAGAATATGGGGAGATTCTAGTCCCTCCCACTTAGAGATGCGGTTGCCATGGTGACTGAGGACCAGTGAGGCGGGATGGGGTTGGGAATGGGGGTGGGGGTGTGGCAGGGACTGAGGCATTGGGAGACCAGCAGGCCTGGCGTTCCAGCGGGAGGGCAACGTGGCGGCATCCCCAGGCTCCAGGTAAGGGAGCGGGAGAGCTGACAGACGGTTCTGAAAGGAGGGGGCGGGCATTGTCTGGCGCTGGCTCTGCCCTGAGGAGGGGGCAGACAGAGGGGTCGGGCCATTGTGTACGGCACTCAGCACAGCCTTCCAGTGCTAGTCAGACTGGCGGAGGGGACCTAGGAGGCACTGGGTAAGGGATTAGGAGGGATTGGGCTGGGCGGGTGACAAGGAGGCTGGGAGACAGTGGGAGTGGGAAGGGGTGGGGGCTCTGGGGGTGTGGAGGCTTTGGGACGTCCCTAGCGCCTACACACGGTAGGCGCTCAATACATGTAAGTTGCCTTGACTTGCTTGTGATCATACGGAGAGAGCAGATGAGGGGAGGACAGACAGGGCTAAGGAAGGGGAGCCGGGAGGCACATGCTCCCCGGGACTCTGCTCCTCTGGCGGCCGCCCCTGAGGCTGGATGGGAGAAGGAGGTAGGGGACACTGGATTTGCCAGGTCACTGGTGGTAAAGCCAGGAGTGGCTTCTCTCCTGGTTCCAGGAGCCCCTCCTTCAGCAAGGCACCCAAGCTCCGCAGGGCTCCGAGGAGACTGAGCCCCTGGGGCGGTGGGGCGCCGGGGAGTAAGGATGAAAAGCAACCTCCACCTCCACCCCCACATCCAGACCTCTGCTCTGGGGCATAAAGCCTGGCAGGAAGGGGCTACCGTTCGATGTGGTCTACGGGCTGTGGGGGAGGAGTCTCGCTTGGGAAGAGCTGGACTTTGACAGGGAGAGGTTGAACTCAAGTCTTATTGTCATGGGTGTCCCCCAGGCTGAGCTCCAGGACTTGTGGAGAAATGGGCTGGGGGAGCCCCCAGATAGGTGCGATGAAGGTGGCACAACCCCTATGACCTGGTCCCTGAACATCTGACCCCTTCCCTCCACCACCCCACCAGACCTGCTGCCTGACTCCAACCCCAGCCAAGGTACTTCCCCTCCTTGGCCTTGGTTTCCTCATTTGTGCAGTGGGGGAGGGGGCGGGACCCTGTCAGCTCAGGGCTTCCTTGATGCTGTCGGCAAGATCTGCTACATAACTTGTGGGGCCCAGTGCAAGATGAAAATGTGGGGTCCCTTGTTTAAAAATTATTAAGACTTTCAAGAGGGTAACAGCAGAGCGTTACAGCAAGCGTGGGCCCTCCTGAGCACAGGCCGCTGTGTGACAGCACAGGTCACGCACCTGCGAAGCCAGCCCTGGCTGCGGGTTCTGCTGAGATGGCAGCGAGGCTGTGGTCTTGACTCTGGAGCTCTGGGGCACTGCGGAGGGGCAGGGTGCCCTTCCTCCCCATCGGGCTCTTCTTGGCCAGGAGGCCCTGCAGAGGCAGGGGTGGTACCTGATGGCCTTTCTTCAGTGAGGTTGCTGTTTCCTCTGAGTCAGGAATCGCCCCAGAGATATTGTTTCTCAGCCCAGAGGAGACAGCTGGCTACCCTCCCACCCCTCACACTCGCCTTTCCATCCAAGCCGCTCAGAACTGACTTTCCTAGACCGGGCAGGAGGCAGGACTGAGGGAGCAGGACTCTGCAGAGTCTGTGGAGCTGAGAGATTTGCTTTGGAATGAGGTAGATCTGAATTTAGCTTGCCTTCTAGCTGTGTAACCTCCCTTCCTTATCTGTAAATGGGATTATGGTGGTACCTATCTGCTAAAATTGCTGGGAGGACCAAAACCTGATAGTGTAAACCATTCATATTGGATGGAGGGGCTGGGGAAGAGGATGTCGGGACTGGCAGGATTCTGGGCCTCTGGAGAAAGAACTGAGGGCAGGGCATTGAGTCTGCCACTGCCAGGGAGGCGGGAATAGGTTGTTGGGCTGGGAGGGTGGGGCTGGAACTTCCCCCTCTTCCCCCCCATCCGAACTCCTCCCGGTGACCCAGATAAACCAATCTGTTTAAGCAGAGAGGCCCAGGGGTAGAGTGGCTTCCCAAACCTGAGCTGGGGCTTGGGGAGACACAGAAGATAGGGTCTGGGTAAATGGGAGTTTCCCTTGATTCTAAGAACCTGAAAGAGACCTGGCAACCAGTCGTCAGGAGAGTCTGAGGAAGTCTTATGCAAGTCTTGACAGAAACAGTTGTCAGGAGGGGCCTGTCTGAGACCAGCCCCTGGGGAAATTGAGAGAGATGAAAGAAGGCTGAGTGGGCTCAGACAAGGAAGTCTAAGGAGTAGCCTGGGCTGTAACATCACCTGTGTTGCCTGGTGCTGTAGCAGGAGGGATGGAAGCTATACTACAGGAAGGACTTCCTGGAGGTGAGGAATGCGTGTTTAAGATGGAGGTGGATTATTTATGAGAGTTGGATTAGCCCTGGGTTGTCTGTGCTCTTTAACCTGCAGTCAGCTGAACTGGCTGAGTGGGCAGGAACCTACCCACTTTATAGGTCATGGAGTTCTTGGCGCCAGATGCCTCGTTAACCCTGCATTATGAGGTTCCCCCAGAGCCTTTGGGGAGGGGTGATTAGCCACCACTGGAGGTTGGGTGCCTCAGAAGTGTGTTCCATTAAGCATGAGCTCAGACGAGAAGTTTTGGGGACTTCCTACTGGCCCAATGCCATCCTAAGAGTGATGGAGATTAGACTACAGGAGACACCTCCTTAGCAAAATCAAGGATAAGAGGCTAATACAATTGTTTATTATTTTAAAGATTATGGCCCAGCTGAGAGGGGGTTTGAAGGCTAGAGCACCGCAGGGACTTCCCAGCAGGTAAAAGTGGAAAGACCCCCATCTTGTGGGTAGGCGAAAAGAGGAATAGGAAAGACGTCGTCATGTCCCATATCTGGGGAATCTTGAGCAAGAGGAGAAACCACTACCAGGCTAGTTAGACTGGATGTGACATGGAGAGGCAAGGGACTCGCTGAAATGACCTGGAAGGGCCTTTTAAACCTTCTGGAGGGACCGAGGCAAAAGGAGGCAGAAAGAGAGGTGTGTCTCCTGAGAGGCGGGTGAGCCTCTTTTTATTCCCTCCCAATTCACCAACTTCCGCCGGAGCCAGGATCTGTCACAACTCGAGAGGTGGAAATTCTGGTTTCCCTAGCCCAGAGCTCCCAGTGCTGGCTTTGGCACGATGGGCACCTGGAGGGCCGCGCTCCCGTTCCAGCCCGTTCCAGCCCGGCTGAGCCTTCTGCCCCCTGCCTCTGGGGGCTGGGAACCCCCCTCCTTCTTTCCCTTGGATGGCGCCCCTGCCCCAGAGTCTGAACACCCGGATTTCCCACTGTGGCTGGTTCAAGGGTATGTGAGGTGAGGTGGGTGGCTTGGGGTTGGTGGACTTGGGGGAAAATTACGCAGAGGCCCAAGGAAGCAGACAGCAGGAGCAAAGACAAGGAGACAGGGGGAGCTGCAGCGGCTGGGAGCCAGCCAGCCACCGCTGCCCAGGCCACTCCCGGGGAAATGCTGACAGTCAACCAGGCGGGATGAAAGAAGAGGGCCAGGTAGGCCTGAGCGTCAAAGACCCTGAGCCGAGTTGGGGCTAGGGGAGACGTTAGAGGAGGCTGACTCGGACTGGTCTGCCGGCCTGGATCAGGGGTGAGTATGAGGCACAAGGTGTCAAGAGATCTGACAGTGGCAGGAGAGAAGATCTGAGGAATTTATGCTTTGAGTATAGGAACCCACTCCCCAGAAGGTCTCCTGCCCAGGGCCAGGCAACAGTTTTGGCTGTGAGCTATGGGAATAGGAAGGCAAAGGAGGGAAGGCACGAAGGACTTCCCTGGGAGTAAGGCGAAAACAGGCAGAGCAGAGAGCAGAAGAGGCAGGGTAGGGAATACCCGGGCTTCTGCCCAGAGGTGAGGCATCGGGCTGAGGACTGTGAGGGTGATGGAAGCGAGACACTGCGAGGGCCCTTCCAGATAGGGAACCACCGCCCCTCGTGCTCCCCCCTCTGCCCCCACACTTCTGCTGCCCAGGGCTCACTGATTGGTCCCCAGGGGCATGTGGTAAGGACTACTCACCCAGAAAGTACCCGGGTGCCTGTTTCCCCAGAGCCGTCTGGTGACAGCAGTTGGCTGAGCATGGCCCTCCCAGCCCTGGGCCTGGACCCCTGGAGCCTCCTGGGCCTTTTCCTCTTCCAACTTCTCCAGCTGCTGCTGCCAACAACGACCGCGGAGGGAGGTGGGCAGGAGCCCGTGCCCAGGGTCAGATACTGTGCAGGTAAGTGTCTGATGGCCAGGAAGTGTGGGGATAGCAGCATAGAGCTGGAGGGAGGTGGAGGAAGGAGAGGGAATGGGGGTGGCGGTGGGGAATGGACATGGAGAAACAGACACACACAGAGAGATGCCAGGGAGAAACAGAGGGCCTCAGAGAAAGAGGAGACTGCCAGAAATAGAAATTCAAACTGAGAGGAAACCCACTTAAGACACAGATTGAGAAAAGGGAAGAGAGGGGGCTTTTCCGGGGCACCGCTCCTTCCAGTTCTCCAAAGTTAGTGATTTCTCTTTCCCTTCTTAAATGTCACTGTCATCAAGCTGAGCACCTCAAACCCCAATTGCTGTCGTACTCCCAAGTGCCCCAAAGTCAAGGCCCATCTAGAAGACCATTTGTGGACCTAGAGGCCGAGGGCACGCCAGGCCCATGCCAACCACACAGATCATGCTAAACCGTAACAATCCACTACTGTGGCATGGCTTGGCTGGGGTGTGGGCCCTGGAACCCCCACACAAGCACCGCTTGGCTGGGTTCTTATTGAGGCTGTGGGGGCTGCTGGCCCTCTCCCCTCCAGGGAGAAGATTCGGGGAAGGATACAGACCCTTTAGGAGTTGTAGGGGCAGGGTCTTGCGGGCATGGCTGTGTCTTTAGCATCTTTCTGGGGCAACCCGGTAAAGGAAATGTATGTTGCCCATTGATGGAGATGCCTCCTCTGTGTTGGATGCTGGGAATACAAACATGGACCAGACTCAGCCCCTGCCCTCAAAGTGTTCAGTCTCAGGCAGAAGCCGATGAGCAGTCAGTCACACTACAGGGTGATCAAGTCAGTAACTGAGGGGTTTATACATCTCTGGGAGAGGCCTGGCCTCCAGGAGACACCCCCGCCCCCAGGCCAGCCCTTCCAGCACTTTGCCACACTTCATCTTTACTCCCCAGCTCCTCCTCTTGGTCCTATTTAAGACTCCCGGAGCCTGCAAAGATAACAATTAGCCAGTCAGTCCACTAACTGATGCAAAGTGCACAGATGCTAATGAGAGAGGATTTGAGGAGCTTCTTTCCTTCCCCCTTGTTCATGTGCCATGGGACAGGTACGCACACACACACACACACACACACACACACACACACACACGCACAAACACACCTGCACACCACTGCACCACGGTAATGGAGAGGACCTAGGCGAGCCTCCGACAACAGGCTCATCTCCCCCGGCCACATAGCATGTCTACGTAGACCTTTGAAGAAAAATGCTTCCTTTCTGTTTCTGGTGATTCTGGTGGTGGAAATTTCCTGTAACAGGAGGGGAAGGAAGCGGGGGTGGTGGTGGGGTGGCAAGGGGGACCCTCTGACACACAGTCTTGTCTGTGTCTAGCTTTCCTGCTTGTGGCTGCCAGTACCTTCCTGTCGATTGGTCTGCCTGCTGTTCCCCCTCCCAGTGGGGACCAAGGTGTCCTCCCCACTGCAGCACCCCTGGGCCTGGAACAGCATCCATTGTCTCTCACTTTATTTCCTATCCCTTTTGTCATGGGTGCAGGCTACTCTCCCCCAGCCCCAGGCTGTCCTTACCCTGTCTCTGGCTGCCTCTCCTGTCTACTCTGGGCTCAACACACAAAGCTCCCGCAGCCGCCAGCTGAGTGGGGTGAACGGGAAAATTGCTGGTGGAGAAGGGGAGGGTCCAGCTGCCAGGGCCTGGGGAGCACACTCTGCCAACCCTTCCCTTCCCCCACTTTTATCCCAGGAATCAGCTGCCCATCCACCAACTCCTCACCACTCTCTCTCACACCTCCCACAGGGGATGGAGGCAGGGCGCTTAGCTTCTTCCACCAGAAGGGCCTCCAGGATTTCGACACTCTGCTCCTGAGTGGTGATGGAAATACTCTCTATGTGGGGGCTCGAGAGGCCATTCTGGCCTTGAACATCCAGGATCCAGGGGTCCCAAGGCTGAAGAACATGGTGAGGAAACCAGGGACAAAGGGTGTGGGCTGGGAGTGAGAAGGCGGCCAGGAGCCACCCTGACCCTGGGCCGCCTAAGCATGAATAACAGGCCAATTGCTATTATCTATAATCAGCGACAATCAGCAATTCTTGTTATATATATCTTGACAATATAACAGACACAAAATATTATAGTGGCCTCACTCTTCATTGGAATCATAAATACTGGTTGAATAATATTAATTGCTAAAATGGCTGACATGGAAATCATTGACATAAGAGATCAACCTTGACTCAAATTATGTCACTAATTTGATATTCACCCACTAGGTAGAAATCACTGCGGCTTCTGTGTTATAGTCACCCTACTAATGTGAACAATGTGAGGGAGAGAGGGAGCAGGAAGGAAGAAAGGGAGAGAGGGAGCTAGCATAGTGATCATCCCTGTGGTTTGTGTTTCTCAGTGAATAGTCTGTTGGCCAGCTGCACATATAGGGTGCTGGTTAAAAATGCACATTCTCCAAGGCGTGACCCAGGGACCAACATTTTTAACAATGTCCTCAGGAAATGTGTGGTTGGACAACTGCTCCTATGTATGCCATGCATTGCTTTAGGTGCTTTACATATGCCACCTAATTGTCCCCACCAGCAGCCTATGAAATTGATCACAATCAGTCAGTGAGTGGCTGAGCCTATATTCAAACCCAGGTCTGTCTGATTCCTTAGGCCATGTTCTACCATGGAGCTGTGTCTGAGCAATATCAGTATCATCAATGTGAGAGCTGTAGTCACAAATTGGTGTTATTACCACCCATCGCCATGTCACCAACCCCCATGGCTGCTGGTCATTTCATGACAGAGCTGAGGAGGGGATTGCAGGTCACAGACCTGAAGACTTCATTTCTTTCTTTCTTTCTTTTTTTTTTTAACTTTTTTGTTTTTCGAGACAGACCCTTACTCTGTTCCCTGGGCTAGAGCACCATGGCATCAGCCTAGCTCACAGCAACCTCAAACTCCTGGGCTCAAGCAATCCTCCTGCCTCACCTCCCGAGTAGCTGGGACTACAGGCATGCGCCACCATGCCCGGCTAATTTTTTCTATATATTTTTAGTTGTCCGGCTAATTTCTTTCCATTTTTAGTAGAGATGGGGTCTCGCTCTTGCTCAGGCTGGTCTCGAACTCCTGAGCTCAAACAATCCTCCCTCTTTGGCCTCCCAGAGTGCTAGGATTACAGGCCTGAGCCACTGTGCCCGGCCTGAAGACCTCATTTCTTTTCATCTCCCTCCCCTCCCCAATTTCCCACTTTCAGACAACCTGGCCAGCCAGTGACAGAAAAAAGAGTGAATGCGCCTTCAAGAAGAAGAGCAATGAGGTAAGTGGAGGTGGAGGCCTGGGGGTTCTGGGTGGAGAGCCCTGGCTTCCGTAGACCATCACTGGGTGACCTCAGGTTGGGCAGGCAGTGGAGGGCACGTGTCATGATTATCTCTTGGATTATGTTCTATAAAGATGTACGGGGACTGCCCCAGCATTGCCCAGCCCTTCTCCCCACTAGGAAGTGAGGGGGCAGCCCCTGGGGGCCCAGGAGTTTGAGGCAAGTGGTCTGGAGGCCTGAATTCTCTGTCTCCCCCAGACACAGTGTTTCAACTTCATTCGTGTCCTGGTCCTTTTCAATGCCACCCACCTCTACGCCTGCGGCACCTTCGCCTTCAGCCCTGCTTGTACCTTCATTGTGAGTTACCTGGTGCCTGGCTCTCAAGCTCCCAAGCGTCCCTTCTCACGTCTACCCCCAGAATTTCCTCTGTAGCTCTGGAAAACTCTGGTCTTCCAGACTCAGGACCCTCATGAGCTTCCTGGCCCCGGACCAATTTCCCTCTATGCCCCTCTCCCTTCCTCCCTCATGCCCCTCCATTTCCCAGATGTGAGACCCTGGCGTTCTGGCCCCCCAGCCTCTCCCCCCCTCTAGGAACTCCAAGATTCCTACCTGTTGCCCATCTCAGAGGACAAGGTCATGGAGGGGAAAGGCCAAAGCCCCTTTGACCCTGCCCACAAGCACACAGCTGTCTTGGTGGGTGAGTATCAGGTTTCCTGGTCCATCCCAATATCTGCTTTCACTCTGAAATACGGACTGTTACAGAGTTTCCTAAAAGGTGGAGGACAGAGAGAGAGGGAAGCCAGGAGTCTCAGAGCACAAGATCAATGGAGAGTTAGGCCACCAGCTCCTGCTGAAACTGCCACAAAGGAGGTGCAGAGAGGCAGATGTGGAGAGTCACAGAGGCATGAGGGTCCTGGAAAGTGTCAGGTAGAGAAGAGGCCTGAGATTCAGTTATTTGTTTAAGAAATATGCACTGTGCGAACACGTCCTCTGGTGTACCAGGCATCGTGCTGGCTACCATAGGAGTCACAAAGAAGAAATCATGGCCCCGGGCACTGCTTCACAGCAACCATTACAGACTTCCCAGCCTGGCTTCCTGGAGGAGGTGGCCTTCGGCTTTTGAGCAGGACCTTTAAAGACAGGTAGATAGATGGGCAGGAAAGGTGTTCCAGGAAGGAAGGACGGGGTCCAAGGTGTAGAAACAGAAAACACAGTCACCTTCTGACATTGATGAGTGAGTCCATTTGGCAAGTGTTTCAGCTGGTCGTGTGAGGGAGTAGCCAGAGAAAGGCTGGAAAGTGCCACATGGGCTGGCCATTTCCTGTTGAGAGCGGGACCTGAGAAGGGGGCTCAGTGGTGGTAGTCGGGGGGAGCTGGGCTTTGGGCCTCCTCAGGAAGGCGCAGAACTAATGCAGGGCTTAGAGACTGGTATTGATGCTGGCCGCACAGGCAGGTCTGAGTGGGGCAGGGGAGGCCTCCACCTGATAAGCTGTCCTCTCCTCCCCTCTCCCCCACCCTAGATGGGATGCTCTATTCTGGCACCATGAACAACTTCCTGGGCAGTGAGCCCATCCTGATGCGCACGCTGGGATCCCAGCCGGTCCTCAAGACCGACACCTTCCTCCGCTGGCTGCATCGTAAGGACCTGACCCCCAGCCAGCACAGGTCTGGCCCCATTTCCTGAGCCCCGGAGACTTGGCACTGTGAATTGCTGTTAATTCACTCAACTCTCATTTGAGGGCATGCTATGGGCATTACTGTTAGGCGCTGGGGGTATAGCAGGGAAGAAGACGAAGCTTCTGGTCCTCATGGAGCTTTCATCTTAGATAAATCCACTGAAGAAATACCAGTCCCCCCCACCCCCATCACCAGCCTCCGATAAGCTATGGGATCGGAGGCAGCCTGTCCCCTGGCCTCCAGAGCCAACCCAAGGGTTTTCACCGAGGGGACCCACGGCATCCCGGTGCTCAGTCCCTCTGCCCCGCCCCCGCAGCGGACGCCGCCTTCGTGGCAGCCATCCCTTCGACGCAGGTCGTCTACTTCTTCTTCGAGGAGACCGCCAGCGAATTCGACTTCTTCGAGAAGCTCCACACGTCGCGGGTGGCTCGAGTATGCAAGGTCTGCAGCCCGCGAGGGGGGCGGGGCTGGCCGTAGGGGATGGCAGGGGCGGGGCCGAGTGGTTGGGGGCCCAGTGGGCGGGGGCGGGGACATGCGGGGCGAGAGGCTGACCCCGCCAGTGCCCGCAGAACGACGTGGGCGGCGAGAAGCTGCTGCAGAAGAAGTGGACCACCTTCCTGAAGGCCCAGCTGCTCTGCACCCGGCCGGGACAGCTGCCCTTCAATGTCATCCGCCACGCGGTCCTGCTGCCCGCCGATTCTAACACAGCTGCCCACGTCTACGCAGTCTTCACCTCCCAGTGGTGAGCAACAGCGCAGGAACGACGGGGCTGGCCGTGGGGTCTGAGTCCGGTGTGGCCCTGGCTCGTGAAGGGGGGGCAGGAACTGACGTGAGCGAGCTCCTGCTCTACACCACTTCCCAGGAATTCGATCCGTGCCCTTCATGTAGCCGGGAAAAATAAAGCTCAGGGAGGTTCTGACTAGTTTATATTCTGCCTGGTTCCAAAAAGGGTGGGAAGCAGTTTACAAAAGGCAGGCATTAAAATCAACAAAATGGATAAGGAAATGGGAATAAAGGGAGGATGCGAAAAGCCAGGGTTAGGGTCAGCACATTACAAATGATTGTCATGGATCTTGTGTAGTCCCTGGATGCCAGCAGAACACCAGGCCATCTCATCTGGGAAATTTAGCTCTGCACTTCCTAACGGCCAGGGCAAAGAGGGAAACACCATCAGTATCACAAGATAAAAATAAGCCATTGCATGGAGGCTGAGAAAGGTTAACCGATTTGTTCGAGGTCCCACAGCCATGGTCTAGCCCCACAGCGTTTAGGTACCTGCTAACAAGGTGTCAGGTACCAAAGGTATCTGGTGTAAGTGGGAACCAGAACTGAGAACCTGGTGTGTTCAACAGTCAGGTCAAAGAGAGTGAGAGAGAGGCTAGCATGGTGGCATGGTGCCTGTAGTCCCAGCCACTGGGGAGGCTGAGGCAGGGGAATTACTTGAACCCACAGAGTTCAAAGCCAGCCTGGGCAACACAGGGAGACCTGTCTCTTAAAAAAAAGAGAGAGAGAGAGTGAGAGAGACAGGCAGCCCCTCTGTCCCCAGACAGGGGCTGAAGGAATAAAAATAGTTTGGTAGTCAGGCTCTGATCAGTTCTCTGAGGACCAGGAATCCAAGGAACTCAAAGGCGGAGGGCTTCTTGTAGAGCCAGTCTGGAGCAGGCTCCACTGCCCCTCCCGTGGGTACGGCCCAGCCTACGCAGGACAGGCAGGAGCCACCCCAGGGGCTTAGCCCCAATTAATTCTCATTAGGGATAATCACACTTCAGATCCTATGATAGGCCTCAAGCCAGGCCCTGGGCCAGAGTCAGGGAACTCCATGGGGCTCTCCTAGCCCTTATCACAACAGCAAGGAGAACTCCTAACCTCCGGGGGTTTCTCACTGAGGGGGAGCTGCCTAGTGTGGCAGAGGAGACCACGGACAATGTCCCTCTGGCTCTCTCCAGGCAGGTTGGAGGGACCAGGAGCTCCGCAGTTTGTGCCTTCTCTCTCACTGACATTGAGCGTGTCTTCAAGGGGAAGTACAAGGAACTGAACAAAGAAACTTCACGCTGGACTACTTACAGGGGCCCTGAGACCAATCCCCGGCCGGGCAGCGTGAGTACTTACACCTTCCACCCTGCAGCACTGAGCAAAGTCCACACACACGAACACACACATAATGTGCGTGTGAAAGCCCCTATCGTGGCATAGTAAATGCCCAGTAAATGGTAGTGCTCACACCGCATCCATCCTGTGTACTCAGATATACCCCTGGTACAGCTGCCCACATTCCACAAGTGGCCAACGCCATCCTATACACGGAACAGTTGTTGGAACCACGTCCCCCACAAGGCTAAGTGCACACCAGTATCTGGGTATATCACTGAGGAAACAAGGGAACATGGGCTGTCTGCCAAGGACTGTCTTGGGCATCTCCACTTGCATTTCTTATTTAACTTTTCTAAAAATCAGAGTTATATATATACATGACAAACAATCCAATAGTTCTGCAGGTTACAAAAAGCAGCCCTCTTCCCTACCCTCCACTTTCCCTCCTTTAGCTCCTTTAACTGATTCTTTTTGTATTTATCTCAAAATCTGTAATACCGTGCTTTTATTGCTACTTCTTGATATTTCAGTTTCAGACAATATCTATTGAATTCTCATTCTAGAAGGTGAGGATTTAACTGTGTCACCCCACCCCCACCTCACCCCCTTTCAGTAGTGTGCTAGAACCAGCTTGCAGCATCTAGCAAGAATTGTTTTGGCACATCTCTTTCCAAATTCACGTTCAGTGACATTGCACTGACAGCTTGAAATTAGCCGTGGTGGAAGTATATAACACAGAAATCAACAAACACTGCAAATCAGGGCTTCCATACCCCCTCACCCCCACCAAACCAGCTTACCGGCATACAATAACGGCACCCACCCGCAATCTTCAACATGGTTTTATAGTAATTTTGGTGAGATCAATATTTATATTATGACTCTTATTATTCACAGCTGAACCAGGTAGTAAGCCATGATTACTTTTCCTTTTTGCATAATTTTTTGCTTTCCTTTGGGTTAGTAATTATCTTGATTTTTTTGCTTGCTTTGTTTTCTAAGCTCTTATATTTAATTCAACCCCAAACTCTCCCAGAATTATCTGAATATCTTCTCAAGACAGACATATTAGCTATTCCTTTTTTTAAGAGATGAAATCTTGCTGTTTTGTCCAAGCTGGTCTTGAACTGGCCTCAAGTGATCCTCCTGTCTCAGCCTCCTGAGTAGCTGCGATTGTAGGTGTGAGCCACTGTGCCCAGCACCTATTGGCTGTTCTAACAGTATCATCTTTCCGGAGATCCTACATATCTATCGGCTCCAGTCTAGACTGGGGGCCCTCTATATCTAGAGCACGGCTGCCACCCTACAATCTCCCTTTTTCATCATCCGGGGGATTTCCTTTGCCTCTTTCCTGTGACAGATCTCGTGTTTCTTGCATCCCATGGCTTCCTCTTTTTTTTTTTTTTAAACTATCTCATTTTAGTGGAGGTTATCCTCCACAGAGTCCTGGAAAAGGATACGTGCAGGTAAAATTTTTTGAGACCTTGAATGTCTGAAAATGTCTTCCTTTTACTTTCACATTTGATAGTTTGGCTGGGTATGTGTAATTCTAGAATAGAAATAATTTTTCTTCAAACGTTGAAGGCCTTGCTCTAGTCTCTTCTAGCTTCCATTGCTGCTGTTGAGAAGTCTAAAGCTGTTCCAATCCTTAACCTTCCTAGTGTAACCTGTTTTTTTCTCCCTGGAATCTTATAGTGTCTTTTCTTTGTCCCTGGTGTTTTGAAATTTCATGGTGTTGTGCTTCGTTGGAACTCTGTTCGTTTATTGTGCTGGGCACTCAATGGGCCACTTCAGCCTGGAAATTTAGTTCCTTTAGTTTTGAGAAGTTTTCTTGAACTATTTCTTCCTATTTCCTTTTCAGTCAACAAATATTTATTGAGGATACGTGCTATTAAAGGCACCGGGGATACAGCGCTGAGCAAAACAAACTCAAGTCCTTCCC